TCACCGTTTGATCCCTTCAAGTCAAAGAAGATACTCCGTTCAAGCTTCAAACCGTCAGTATCACCGTCCGATCAAACGGAGAACAAAGCTACAAATCAAAGTCCATGGAACTCTGTAACACCTGAAAAGCCGATTAACCCTCCGCGTAGATTGAAGAACCGCCGGGCGGCGATGTCCGTGAAAGAAGTCAGACAAGCCGCCCAGAGGCTCCAGAAACCTGCTCCGGACCCGCCTACTCGATCCGACCCGATTGTGGACGCTGCAAAACATCAGATCGCGACGTTGCCAAGTGAAACTGCGGCTGCTAAATCAAAGAAGGCCGATGGCTCAGCAAAGCTCCCCGAAAAGTAAGTGCCTGTGAGTTTCTTTGAAGGTTGTTTTGCTTATAGATCTGAGGAACTTAGTACAAATGTAAGAACCTGTGTTGTCTTTCTGATGAATTTCTTGGATGTGGATTAATCACTTAATGATGCTGCTGTCTTAATAGATCCGGAACAGAAAAGAGACTGAAAATCTGCGAGGATGTTGTTATTGGAAAGAAAGAAAACAAATTCAATGAATCTTGTGAACGTCGTTTAGTATATTCTTTGGTGATTTTGTTGTTTAGTGACTATATAAAGATAACATTATGTAAATTCAAATTTTTTTTTATTATTTTGGGTATATATGGTCAAATGTATTCATTGTTGAGTTTTGACAGTATTGAGTTATGGACATGTAAGAGTGTCGTTTGTTGTATGGTATTTGAGAAGGTAAGGGCCTGCAAGCTTGACAAAATGTTGTGGAGGCCTTTTTTTTTAAAAAATTTTTTTAACAAACTTCTTGAACACTATATACAGTCAATTTGAGGTGACATTGTGTTTATGCTTGTTGGTCTGTGCACTTTTTGATGATTTTAGTGTTTTTGTCTTCAGATATGAGATATTGGACAGTTTCTTCAATAGCTTGGATAGTTCAATTCGCCTGCTTCAGTTGAAGGGATCTATGTCAACATTTATAAATATTAGCCCCAAGATAGAGTGTTTGACTGATAGGTAGTAAATCTGCATTCACACGGGTTTCTAAATTGTATTATTAAGAATTTTTTTTTATGGGTACTGACTTGTTGTAATTGATTTGATTTGATTTCCTAGGAGGTTTACTTATAGTCATTTAGCTCAACTGAAGTTTATTTTACCCGAGGCAATTGAGGTAAAGAAAGTTCTTACACATGATGAGCGAACAAGTTGTATGAGGCCAGACCTTCATGTTACACTGAATACCAATGCGATTGATAATGATGAGAAGATGAAATTGGCTAGCGGGAATGCACGGTTGAGAAAAGTCTTTCATTCTCGGCTTTTGGATTTCTCTAAATCCCATCCTGAGGTAAGCTAATTTTATACTTCCTATGTGTAATTTATTAAATATGTGCCGTTTTTAGTTGTTGCGTTTGATTTCTGGAACTTTGGAGTATCATTATTCTTACATATTTCCTAGGACTGAGTAGTTGATGCTACTTTAGGGCTCATGTAATAGGCATGATTCTTTGGAGTGGTATTGATTGAAAGCATAAAAGCCATTGTTTTACCACTATCATGTGGTGCTTCATCTGTGTAATTAATACAGTAGGTTGATCCAGTTGCATTTGGAGAAAGTTATTTCCTTGAGGTTTCATTTTAAAATCCTCACACAATGTTGTAAAAACCTTCAATTTTCAGGCCACCATTGTTATTCATCTGACACTCAAAAACTAAGCATAACAAACCTGCATTACCTGCGGTGTCTAGCCCTCTTTCCCAGGACAATCTTGTAGTGAAATCCTCCCATCTTAAGTGCTCTCCTCTATTGACTTCCTAATAGCCTTGAACTTGTTGATATACTTTTTACCCTTGCATGGATCTAGAGAAAAGTTGGGATTATAGCCAGACAGATTTTGCTCTGTACTTTTGAAGATAAAATCTCCAAAAGAAATGGACTGTGTTTTAGCTTCTCTTTCATACATCTTTGGTACTCTTGTCATTAAAAATGTGACTTCTGCATTTTAGGGGGATGAAATTCCTGAGGGAACACTGCCGGAGCCGTTCAATCGCTCAAAGCAAGATCTGCGTACAAACATAATCAAAACCTCCACTTCATCCTTGACTTGTGAGATATCAACTGATGCTCTTGTAGAACAGCAGCCAGCAGCATCATCCCTTCTGTCTCAATCTTTCCGGAGGCGCTTCTCCCAGCCAGGCTCCAATCAAGAAGTATTGAACACTCATTCCTCTCGAAAGGGAATTAGGGCACCTGCTGTTCCATCCCCTATTAAATCCTCTTCAAAACCATCAATGGATGAAGAATGCATAGCACTTGGGGCTTCTGCTGCCAGTCTACCACCATCTCATCCTGAACCTGCTGCAACACCAGTCAAAAAAATGGACTTGACAGAGAATGAAGATTGCTTCTCCATTGGAAATGCTAGCATCCAAGGAACTCCTGCCAACCACGTTTCAACACCAGCAAAGCTGATGAGTGTGACACCTGCATTGCAACCACCAAAGAGGCATTGCATGAGCCCAGATGATGATACAACCAGATCACCAAACAAATTGGTTAGGCGTCCACCTCGTAGTAGGTCCCTGAAATTTGACACTCCTGTGAAGAATGCAAAGTTAGAGGATGAAGGTAGTGAGAGTCAAAGATTATTGATCGACAGTGATATTTTTGACATTCTTCCTGAGAATCTTCTGCAATCAGTAAGCCCATAATGAATTTGCTATGCTCTAATCTTTTTCTGTGCATGTTTCGGTGTAGGACATGCCCATGTCCTATATTTTATGTTCTGCAATGTGAAATGAAGATATTTTGCTGTCCCCGTTCTATTGTAATTGAAATTTGAATCAGGGACAGGTGATTAAGATGACCCATTTCATAAATGTATGCCATTATTGTTTAAATTCTGTCAAATATAAAGTGACTTAATAAATGAAGTTCTCTAAGTTATTTCTTAGATTCAGACTTTGATAACATCATTATATATGCTCCACTGATATTCTTGCATTTTACATCTTGTCAAATATGAAATATATCAATTTGATAAAGAAGGCCCACATTATTATTTCATATAGAAATCCAACCTCAATGCTTCTCTGCAGATAAGAGAGAAAGAGAGGAAGGCACTAGAAGAGCAAGATCCAGCAATCTCTCAAGCAAAATGGCGGCAGCAGATGATTGCCAGCTTACCTAAGCTCTTTGACAGGATTCATTTCTTATTTCAGTCAATTAAGCGCTCTATCATTACAAAAGACGAGCTTATGCACAGGATAATAGCAAGCCAGTTGGATATTGTTGATAGAAGTAAGCTTTGTTTCTGATCATTAGAAACATAGACTACCTTTTGATCTTGCAAAAACTTCTTTTTCACCAAGTCCTCATGTTTACATTTACAGGAGAAGTAGAAGAGCAGCTTAGGTTGTTGCAAGAACTAGTTCCTGAATGGATATATGAGAAGTCAGCA